CTGAGAAAACTTGGATGGAATCACCAGAAAATTCGTAAAGATATCTATTTGGATGGACATGAAAGGCCTGATGTGATTAGTGGTTACATTCATGAAATTCGGGTATTCATGAACGATCTGCATGAAATTCGGAATTCATGAATATATTCGGAATTCATGAAATTCATGAGATTCATGAAATTCGTAGATCAAATACCTAATATAGTAATAATTTATTTAACGAAATTCTTTCGTATATTTATTTCTTATTTAATAAAAATATAAAAACGAATTAAAAATGAATGTAATAAAATATAAATAAATACATTAAAAATATTTAATATTAATAAAAAATGTTTTTAATTATTAAAAACAGAAATATTTTTTGAATTTCTTTTCAAAAATAATATTTTAGAAACAATATCATGTGATAATTTGTTCCTTCATGGTGTTATGTGATTTCCCACATCAGAGAATAAACGTTCAGAAGGTACGGAAGTTGCATTGATACATAAATATTTTTTTGCTAGAATTGACATGATAGGAAATTCATCCTTTCTATCATTCCACCAAATTAATGGATCTACTTGTCTGGAAGCAGTTGGCAATGAAAAATATTTTTCATATTCACCTTGTGACTCTTCATATTGTTGTAAATCGTCAAACAAATTATCAAAAACTGATTTTTTTTCATTGGAGTTGTTTCTTAAAGGAAGGATTACACTTATTGAACAAGAAGGACTGCTAGAAGGACTGCTATTATGTTGTTGTTGTTCTTTGACTGATTCGTATTGGATTTTTAATATTTTTAATATCTCTAAATGTGTTCTTTCATTAAGGAATTTTAAATGCTTGAACCGAGGATCTAATGTTGATGTGAGCATGGCTAAGACAGAAGGGCCAGACCAATAATGGTTTATTGATTCATATAATGTTGAAATTATTTTTTTATATAATCCCTTAGTGCTTACAGGATTTGAAATATTGATTTTTTTCTTTTTTCTCTCTCCATTATTTTCCTCAAAAAACAAAACATCTCCTTCTTCACTTTCTTCTAATAATGGTAATGGTAATTGTTCTTGATCTTCTGATTCTTCTTCATTTAAAAAATCATCAACAGTAATTGGTGGAATTATATTATCATTATTATTATCATTGTCATTATCATTATCATTATTGTTATCATTATTATTATCATCATCATCATCATCGTCATCTAATATATTTGATAGTTTTTTTTTAAAAAGGATATTAATGGATATTATCATTATCATTATCATTATCATTATTATTATTACCATTATTATTATTACCATTATTATTATTATTATCATCATCATCATCGTTGTCATCTAATATATTTGATAGTTTTTTTTTTAAAAAGAATATTAATGGATAAATTAAAGATAATGTGACGAATTTGCTACTACTTAGTGTTGTGGTAATGGTATTGAATTCTCCCAAAATATCAACAAGGTTACTAATTAACAACCATTCATCATTGCTCAATAAAATTTTTCTTAGTTTTTTCCCATCTTTCTTGACTTCTCTATCTGTGTCTAATTCCATATGATTTGTTAAAAGGATGATGGCTTTTTTTAATTTTAATAATTGTACCCATGCCATGTATGTACTATTCCAACATGTTGCTACATCACCTATTGGTTTTAATATTCTAGGGTAATCATCACTTAGTCTCTCTTGCTGTTTTTCTAATGCTTTGAGTTGTTTTGGAGAGGAAAAAAATGAAATGAGCCTTTTGACTCTAAGAATTAAAGATTTAATATTGTCATTACAATTTAAAGCCTTTTTGATGCATAGTTGAAATGTGTGGGCTGAACATGGAACTCAATCAACTTCTAAAGAATTTTTTAATAATCTTAATGCAGAAACCATATTGCTACCATTATCGGTGGTAATGGCTGTAAGTTTTCTATTTAACTCCCATTTTCTTATTTCATTTTCCAATAAATCTTTTATAACTGGACCTGTGTGGGGATATGGCACATAAACTAAATTCAAAAGTACCTCATTTGGCTCAAAATTTTCTGATATCCATGTACATGTTATTCCCATAAAACCTTTTTTTTGATTAGTTGATGTCCAAAATCAGTAGTCAGTGAAGCATGCAGACAGTTGCTAAACAAATTATCTTTAAGTTCATTGATTGAATGATCATATAATATGAATAGAGATTCTTTAATTACATCTATGCATGGAATTTTGAAATGTGGATTAAGAGAATGGATGAAATCTTGGAAACTAGGACTTTTTAAAATATGGAAAGGTTGAGCATCTTTAATTAAAAATTCAATTAATTTTTTTTTTATATGGTTGCTTTGACTATCAGTAAGTGGTGGAATCATGTTATGAATTAAACTTTCATTATTTTCTAAAATCTGTTCCATTATCAAGAAATAATATAAAGATTAAGAATTAACTTAAAATATCAAATAATTTTACAAAATACCTTGTTTGCTACATCTTTTCTAACAATTCCATGTATCTTCTGCAGGTGATTGATAGTATTTGTTGTAGACCCTTTAGTCGCGCTAAGTGGAAAAAATTGATTACATGGTTCGCCATTATTTAACCTAACAACACATTTCCAACCATTTGATAAACTTTCACAATGATCCCAAATAAAACTTTTATGTTTTCTTCTAGAGTGTCTTAAAACATCCATATCCATATTGTTCGAAATATTACTCATACTTGATTCTGTTTCCATGGGCTGTGATAAAATCTCATTTTCATTTGGTAAAAGGTCTTCTCCCTCTAAATAATTAAAGAATGACATTTTTTTCTTAAAATTAGTAGGAAAAAAGAAAAGAACAGGTTGGATTGAAATAAAATAAAGATTTGATAAAAAATCAAATAAAAAAATATAAATAAAAAAAGCAAATAGAAAAAATCATTGCAACATAATTTTTTAAATAATAACAATGGTATAAAATAATGATTTAAATAAATAAATTTTTTTGCATGACAAAAATGATGATATGAATTAACGTTCATATGATAAAAAATATAGTTCATAGTAATGGTATCATAAAAATTATCTTAGAAATCATACTAATTACAAATTGAGCCTTTCATTCTATTCTAATACTAAAATTGCTTTCCGAAGCTCAAAAATTAATTTAAAAAATTTTCAAACCTCTTTTAAACTAGTTTAGACACTATTAAAGACAAGACTCTTTTGAAACAAATCACATCATATATTTTTTATATAAGTTACTATTCTAATTCTTAGCCATTTTTAAAAGGTCTAACTAGTGTTGGTTTTCCCTATAAAAAATAAAATATGGAATAGGTACGAAATGCAAAAAAAGTACAGAAAAGATGTACAAAGGTGTGGGAAATAAAGACTAGTGCCATAATCCAAAAAAGGAAAAAGTATGGCTGCAAAAGTGGTCGCAAAGGTAATTGCGACCACTTTTTATATGCCATAAATACAATTACTACCATCATCATAATTTACAGCACTAGTCTTTAGTGGAAAAGACATAAAAAGTATGGAAATAGTTTTGGCAACCAACACTAGTCTAAGAGAGATTTTGAGTTTCGGAAGACAACTTTAGAATGGAAAGGCTCATTCAATTTTGTAATTTTTATGAATACTATGAACTATATTTTTTAAGCATAGTGGACATTCGTTTTATCACATGTGACAAAATCGATCATTGATCTTTTTTATATTGTGAAACTTGCTATTTCAATTGAATTTAGAATAGAAAAAAGTCGCGTGACTGCGCACAAAAA